TCCAGAAATAACATTTATATAACAAAGTGGCCTTTGAGAATTATATGTTAGACGCAATGAATGTTCGGAATTCAAAATCTATGTTTACTTTAAACATAAAGAGTAAATTTTGAGGGCCAAAAAAGTATTGGCACAGTTTTAAATGTTTACTATTAGCTACAGTCAAAATAAATTAATACTTTTTCTTTTAAGAAATTAGAAATGAGAATTGACGAGAGTACAATGATAATAATAAAAATCGATCTTTTCTGTATATTTTCCATAACGAAATGGGTGAAATCAGTGAATATTGTATCAGTTAAAAAAAAAACACATTAAATTACAATCTAATGGACTTAACTACCGACAAATAACGAATAAATTAGAAATTGGTTTTAGCAGTGTTCAAAATATTGCACATAAGTCCAAAAAGTTTTAAACATACCTCGTTCAGAGCGGCCATCAAAATTTAATGAGAGGGCATAAAGAAATATCCATCGAATAGTTGAGCAAAATGACACTTTATCAGCTCCCCCAGATAGCAGAAGAGGTCGCATTTACTTTAATTACCACCTTCTGTTAAAAATATAATTCATAAACATGATTATTGTGGCAGATTCCAAAGAAAAAACTTTTATTACAGAGATTAACTGCAAAAAAATACCTGATAATTTTCCAAAAGTTAGTTTAATAATGACCATAAATTCTAGAAAAATGTTTTGTTTTCTGATGAAAGTAAGTTTCACAAATTCTATTCTTCTAACGGCCCCAAGTTCAATTAGCGGAAACTTGACACTGAGTTTCAAACTGGACATGTGAGGATTCTTGTAAAACACCGAGGAAGTGTCCAAATTTGGGAGGACATGTCATGAAATGGTGTTGGAAACTTAACCTCTATTGACAATATTATGAATGCCAAACAATATTTCAACATTTTGCAACATAATTCAACAAGTAGAGCCGAAAATGAAGGAAAACCTGTACTATGGGACTGAGGGCATACTGCGAGGGTGGACGTGACTCTATAGTCGTAGTGAAGACAGCCGTCTACGGGAAGAGGACCCAGACTAAAAATCCTACTGGTCCTCCACGTTTAGGGTTGGGCATCGGGCTAACGACCCGGTCTCGGAAAAAACTAAATTGTTACGAATAATCAGCAGAAACGTAGCCGGACTGATCTATTGGTACGACCCAAGCGTGGACTAGGAAAATCCTTAACTTTGGCAACATGGAATGTGAGGAGTCTCTTTCAGGTTGGAGCGAGTCGTAATTTGGAGTCGGAGTTGCTTCGGTATGACGTGGATGTGGCAGCTATTCAGGAGATAAGTTGGAAGGATACTCCAATGGTCCAACTAAGTGATTATCTGCTTATCAACAGCGGAAACAGGCGTAACCAAATAGGGGCGGGATTCATGTTAGGAAATGCAATAAAAGATGCCCTCCTGAAATTTGAAGCCGTGAGCGAGAGAATATGCACGATAAGATTAAAAGGGAGATTCTTTAACGTATCAATCATTAGCGCACATGCCCCAATAGAAGATGCCGATGAAGAGACAAAAGACGCTTTTTACGAAGTCTTGGAGAGAACCTACGACTTGATGCCTGGTCATGATGTGAAGATAATATTAAGTTATTGGTATAACTGGTATAAGTTATTGGTATTGGTAAGTTATTGGTATTAAGTTATTGGATATAAGTTATTGGGCGATCTTAACGCAAAAATAGGCAAGGAAGATTTCTTTAGACCCACCATAGGACCCCACAGTAAGCATGAGGAAACCAATGACAATGGGTTCAGAATAGTGGACTTCGCTATGGAAAGGAACACGTCAGTCAGCAGTACTTACTTCCCTCATAAGAACATACACAAGGAGACTTGGGTATCTCCAGATGGGCAAACACGCTACCAGATTGATCATGTGCTGATCCAGGCAAGACACGCAACGTACATAACGGATGTGAGAAGTTTTCGTGGGGCTGTCTGTGGTTCAGATCATCATTTAGTGAGGGTGAAATATCGACAAAAGATTGCGTTAAGAACCAGGGGAAGAACTGAGAAACCTGCGCCACGATTTGCTGTTGAGCGCCTTAAAGAAGAAAACCTGAGGCAGAGGTTTGTAACCAATGTTACTGAGAAGCTCACCAATCACCAGGAAGTACTTAATATCGACTCAAGGTGGACAAAGATGAAGAGGCCCTTGCAACCGCAGCGGCAGAAGAGCTTGGTGAAGTTCAAAAACCAGCAAGAAATGACTGGTATGATGAAGAATGCAAGACCCAGGTAGATGCAAGGAATGAAGCAAGGAGGAGAATGTTTCAACGACTTACCAGATCTGCTGCCCAAGAATTCAAAGAAAAGAGAAAAGAAGCCAAAAAGACATGTCGTCAGAAGAAAAGGTTGTCCGACAAGAGAAAATTAGAGGCAATACAAGAGAGCTTCAATGCACAGGACTCCAGAAGTTTCTTCAGAGGTGTAAGAGAAGTTAAGAATGGATATAAACCTCGTCTTAATTTTGCTAAAGACAAGGAGGGAAACCTTGTGGTTGGTAAGGAAGCAGTTATTGGCAGATGAGCGGAGCATTTCCGGGAGCTGCTTAAGCGGGGCAAAACAGAAAACGCTGAAAGGCCTAATGAAATAGAAGAAGAACTTGACCCCGAGGAACTGGCCGACGACGACGTCTCCCCCGACAAAGAGGAAATAATGGAAATTGTGCAGAGTCTGAAGAATTATAAGGCGCCAGGCATAGACGGAATCCAGGCTGAACTTTTTAAATATGGTGGAGATGAAGTTTGGGATGAGCTCCATAAACTTATTTATGACATATGGATGGAGGAAGAGGTCCCAGATGAGTGGAAAGTGTCGGTTCTATGCCCAATCTATAAGAAGGGAGACAAGCTAGAGTGCAGGGACTATCGAGGCATAGCACTGCTTGGCATAGCTTATAAAATACTATCCTCTGCCATTTATAGGAGACTGATATCACACATGGAGAGGGAAGTAGACGAATATCAGTGTGGCTTTAGGAAGGGTAGATCTACTATTGACCAGATCTTTACCGCACGACAGGTGCTAGAGAAGTCACTGGAATACAACGTTGACCTACATCACCACTACATTGATTTTCAGCAGGCATACGACTCAGTGGATAGGCAGGTTTTGATGAGGGATCTCCTCTCCCTGGGTGTGTCTAAGAAGCTCACTCGGTTAGTAAAAATGACAATGGCAGATACCAGATGCAGAGTGAAACTACAAGGATTGCTGTCGGAGGATTTCTCTGTGGTTTCGGGAATAATGCAAGGAGACACCAAGGCTACTCCCCTTTTTAACATGACCTTGGAGAAGGCGGCAAGGGCCTTAAGAACCAACCCTGGAGGTACCATCTTTGACCGCTTCACACAGCACATGGCGTACGCAGATGATGTAGAGATTGTGGCAAGGACGCTCCCAGCGCTAGCGGGTGCATTGAAGGAATTTGAGACCGCTGCAGCAGCTCAAGGTCTGCAAATAAACGAGCAAAATACGATGTACATGAAGAGTTCAAGACATCGTCATCAACACCGGACTCTAAACATAGGCCAACACGAGTTCCCAGTATGCAGAGAATTCAAGTACCTAGGATCCCTTATGACGGCATACAATGATGTATGAGCTGAGATAGGAGCCAGGATTTCTGCGGGAAACCGATGTTTTTATGCCATACAGCGACTTCTCACGTTTCGAAGACTATCAAGGAATACCAGAGTGACAATCTATAAAACATTGATTCGTCCGGTAGTCACATAGTGAAGCGGGACATGGGTTATCTCAGCAAAACATGAGAGGGCTCTTGGAGTGTGGGAGCGTAAGATTCTTAGGAAGATTTACGGGCCCGTATGCGAAGAAGGTGTTTGGAGGTCAAGATACAATCGGGAGTTGCAACAACTCTGCAGGGACGCAGATCTCATAAGTGTCATTAAGGCAGGACGAATAAGATGGTTAGGGCATGTGGAAAGGATGGCAGCTCACCGAGTACCGAGGAAGATATTGTATGGGCGACCTGGAGGAGCAAGAAGGAGAGGAAGGCCACCACTCCGTTGGCTGGAGGATGTTGAGGCGGATTTGAGACAGCTTGGTGTCAGGCGGTGGAGGGCTGTCGCATTGGACCGAGACGAGTGGCGACGTATTGTTGAGAAGGGCAAGGTCCCACGCGGACTATAGCGCCGAGGAGTAAAGTAAAGTAAAGTAAAGAGCCGAAAATGTGAGGATTAAAGATGCATTTATCTTCCAACAGGACAATGACGGCAAGCACACACCAAATAAAACAAAAGAATGGATGCTGTACAATGAATCCCTAGCCAATTGAAAACGCCACCACAGTCTTCGGATATCAATGCCATAGAATACCTATGGTACTTATTGGATTTGAAAGTAAGAAAAATACAATTTCTTTATAAATTATTTTAAAGAAACTTTGTCAGAGGAATGGCGTATAATTGGACAAGACGTAACTCAAAATTTTGTGTTTACCCTAATTACGTATTTTTCTAAATCTTTTATTAAATAAAAATGTTTACCAAATCAATTTCTGACTCTTTAACAATGAAACCTGAACTACAAATTTCTTATTGAAAAAAAAAACCAAAGGTTTTATCCTGAAGTATAAAAGTCCGTATAAACCAATGATTTTTTTCAAAATGTACTAACCTGTGTAGATTCCAAAAACCTTAGTTTACTTTTTAAATTAGTAAAATTTGAAAAAGCATAATTTTTTAGTTCAGCTTTGAAATTTTTCAATATGGATTGCACCTATTTTTTAAAGTTAGTTTGAGTTTCTACTAGGTATGTGACGTCATTATCAGTCATTTTATGTTAGTGACTATTTTATGATAACTCTATTTAAATAAAATGCGTAGTTTATACATTTTTCTCATTTTTCCTATATTTTAAAATTGGATAAAGATAAATGTAGGTGCACGAGTATTTGTGTTATCAGTTTAGCCTTTTCTTTTATCAGTTATGGATTTGATAAGGTTGGCAGTGTGTCTTCTTAGGCCTGGTCGGTTGCCATATTTTGTTAAGTTACCTACTGTCAGTGAAAAATTTTTATTTCGACTTGTTTTTATCGGATCTCCGAGTTATGACTAGTCTTCCAGAGTATGCCCAAGTTAGGGTTCCTGATGAATTTAGAAGAATATTATTGGAATTGACTGTTGGATACTTATTAGATCAGCCTCCTGACTTCATTGACTTTGCCATTGAATTTTTCAAAAGAAAAAGAACTGAGAGAACAGAACTAAATAATGATATTAAAAGCAAAAATGATATATTGGGATCCGATGATGACGAAAGCGGTAAGAAAAAATATTTTTTCCTAGATGTTGACGTAGTTAATTTATTTATTTTATTCTATAAAGTAGTGTTGTTCTGATTTTTAACTCATCATATGTGTTAATTTGATATAACAGTTTTATAGAAGTATTATTAAATTAAGCAGTTAATATAGATGGGACTCTGATTTATAAATCTAGTGCTATATTGTCATTTACTTCTTTCCTTTGACAGCTTTATAACAGTCCTGTCAAAATTAAACCTTTTAAGTAAGTTTTAAAAAAATATGATGATGGATGCAATGCTTTAAATTGTTATCATAAATTTTCATAATATACAAGTTATTAAGTTTTAGCCCTCAAAATATGATAATTATTGTATTAAAAATAATTTCCCTTGAGTTTTCCATGACTTATATTTATATGTTTACCTGCAGTGCCCATACAATTTTGGATGTTTGAAACTTAAACAATTATATTATTATTGGTAATGAAACATTAAATTCACAAATACTTCATACTAGGATACTAATTATTATGGGTGTAGTGAATGTTGAAAGGAACTTGATTATGCACAGATAATAATTTCGAGGATGTTTTTTCTGTCAATAATTTAACTAACTTTGTTTCTTGTCAATGTATTAAAGTAACGGTAATACTATAGTAGGGCAATGTTTGGTTGACAGGTGTTCCAAGATCCATTGATCACATTACATGTTAAATTGAAACCTACTGTGTGTGGCCTAAGAATATGGAGATGATAGTTCTCTAAATCTTCCTCTTAATAAACATAAGTGTGAACTAACTTATCTATAACATGTAGCTTAAACATGCTGAATATTGAAATAAAGTCAATTTGTACTTTTGATTACCTATTGTGACATATATAGCAGGAGTGTTGCAATCGTGAACAATTTTTAATCATAATTTTCAATTTAAATACCTGTTTTTAAGGTTCTCCTAGACCAAATAACCAAGTCTTGCAAAATGATCTTTGTAAATGTTTATGTTTAGCTCTAAAATGAAAACAAACATACAACCCTGACATTAAATATTTAAGGTAGTTAAATGCCTGTGGTATTACAGCAATTTTTCACTGAAATTGACTTGCTGGAAGTGCCACTTTATATCACTGATTTTACTCATTTTTTAATTTTTCTCGAAAACAGCTCTAATGATTTTGATTAAACGTTTTATATTGATGTCAAATTAAATGGTATTTAATATAAGTTATGTCTTCTCCTCATTAAAATTGTGTGATTAGGCTTAAATGTTTAATCTTTAAAATGTCTTCCTTTAATGTACCTTTAATTTTAATTATTAGTGTTGGAAATTTAAGGTCTATGGATGACAAATAAAAATTGTTATAATCTTTACTGTCAATCTCATACAATCTACTAAATCAAATTAAATTAACAAAGAGTACATACGTCTGAAATGTTAGAGCTGCACAAATAGATTATATCCAAAAAGATATCAATGATAAATATTCTTTTAATTAAATAAATAATTTCTAACCCTGTTCCTTCATTATATTAACTATTACAAATCATAAAAACTGTAACAAAATTAACATATTAAATTTTAAATTTCTCTAAATCTGAAGCATTTCTTGTCAGGAGCACTTTAAAATAATCAAGTGGTCTTCTCTCGCTTGTCAGGTGTCTCCATGGCTCTTCCAAACCACAGAAATCTTCATCGTCATTAACTCCTATTTCGTTGATTTGATCAACTTCTTTTTCTAACTGTTGATACACTTCCTTATCTTCATTGCCTGAGAGTCAATTTTCATCTGCAACAGATTCATTTTCTTCACCTTCTTTATCTTTAATACCATGACTTGGATAATCTTCCGGCGAAGGATTGTTTCGAAAAATGATAGAAACTTTATTATTTACGGATTCATTTGATTCTATCCGGTGATCAGATTCTTCAATAAATATTACATCCTTATCAATCTTTATATTGGTGAAATCTTCAAGGTCAATAGATCTGTAGCCTTAGTTTTCTTTTGAGTATCCAGCTTCTTTTTTGGGGGGGAAGGGAGGTATTTAATTATTACAAATTAATTTACTCATCACTCCAATATTACCTAACAAAATATTTACAAATGTATAAATAAATTATAAGGTTGTGATATAATATCTTGTGTGTATGTATTTATAAATATTTTATAAGTGTAATAACAAAATGTGTTTCAACTAACAAGGGGAGTCCACTGTCAGTGGGTCACCAATTTCAACCATTTATGGATTACTACATCGAAGAATATTGGACACATGTCCAGACGTTTATTCCAATGTGGAATTCATTCCAATACTAGGAGTGCGCTAAAAATGTTTTATATAATTTCAAACAGAATTTATGTTATTTATTTTTGACTTTGCTTTGCCAAACTTCTAGGCTATAATATATCAAACAATTTTTTTTTTTTTTATTATGCAGAATAAGAAAAAAATATTGACTATTGTATTAAATGAGTTATAATGTATCATAAATTACAAAAACCAAAAGTAAAGTAGGCCAAATAAATTTTTGTTATGGAAAAGCAAATTAGATTAGTTTTTAGTGCTGTTTGAAACTTTTATAGAAATTAAAAATTACAAAATTTTATACTTAATTTTCTTAGAGGATTTTTTTCGACCGTTAACTATAGCATTCTCAGCTTCTCAGAATTTATTCTAAATTCAACGTTAGTTAAGGTGACCAAACATTCCGCTTTTGGTGGGACAGTCCCGATTTTTAACAATAGGTCCCGCGTCCCGCAATGTTTTGAAAAAGTCCTGATTTTTGGAAGGAATGCACGTTAAACCAGGGAATGTCAGGAGAACGTGATGAAAATATACGGTTTTCGGCAGCCATGTAGCCATTTCGCCAGGATATGAGTTTTATATAATTTTTGTTGATTTTACATCGTTAAACTTCATTAATAACAAATAACGGTTAAAAAATGATTATCGAGAACTGCTTAGCAAAGTTCGCATTGTTGATCAGTTCTTAGAATTCGACTACCATTGTTTGGACTTAATGATAATAAACAACCCAAAAATTATCTTTTTAATGAATAAATGAATGAAAGGAAAAAGTGAAATCTTAGGCATCAGCAAATTAACTTAATTTACTACTTCAATTACCGCAATGTTGTCACCTTCAATAAAGAATTATCAATTTAAAAAAGAGCTGCTTGATTTTATTCAAACTGTTGGCGCAAAACATTCGTCTTAAAAACTGTGTTATTTTTGAAGTCATAATTTTGACTTCAAATACATCATCAAATTATTCCCTCTCACATATACGGCCCCTTTAGAACTAAATTTTTGACCTTATTTCATCTCAATACTATGCCATCTAATTAAGATTTGCACCAGATTATCATTATGTAAAATTTATTATTGTAACAACAAATTTGGATTATTGTTTGGACTTTTTAATCAAGAACCTGCCCCCTGTTCAATGATGTCCCGCCTTAGCAATATTAAAACTGGTCACTTTAACATTAGTACAACCTTTTGGAAAGGTGAATTACTGCTCTTCCAACCCATATCGATAACTATATGATTTCATTCCTTTTTAGACTAGAAATTAAGAAAAACTTCCCAATCATTTTTATTTTTACTTTCCTACCTATACTAGGTAAGGAAAGTATTGCAATCGGGTCGAATTTCTGATATGTGGTTTTCGACGGTTCTATACATTTCAGAGCCCCATGAGTCCAAAAACACATTTTTAGCCATTGGTCTGTCTGTCTGTGCCAAGATTTTCTCATGAACTAGTGAATCGATTTTGTTGCTTCTTTTTTTATTTTGTAGGGTTTTGACTACTGATGCCTGTGACACAAATTGAATGTTCCATGCGCATGCGCAATAGCTGCTGCTTAATAAATGAAAAACATGTTTTTCTATAGACTGCAGCGTGAAAACGGCTCTAACGATTTTGATGAAACTTTCCTATAATGTTCTAATGATTGTCCTTTCAATTTTCATACATGGACTAAATTCCCGAGAAAATTTAGTTAAAAAAGTTATAAAGAAAAGAAAAATGTTTTGGCGCCTAACTCGCTATGTATATATTCTAGGGTTAAATTTATAATAAAACTTTTGAAAGGCAATTAAATCACCAACAAAACAAAAAAAAAAAAAAATCATTGGAATTGAACCAGTATTAGCGATGATGTAGCATATTCTATTTTCTACACATGTTTTAATTTATTACTTTCCTACCTATACTAGGTGAGGAAAGTATTGCGATCTGGTCACATTTCTGAAAAGCGGTTTTCTTTCAAATTTATAATGGAGTGGTTTGATCTTTCATCCTTTTACAATTTATTTAGAGTACGTTCTTATATTGTTTAAAATATCTTTTTACGTTACTGTAATAATGTTTATTACCTTTACATTAGAAATTACCATAATTTATTTCAATAAAATATTGTAATAGTTTTTGTAGGTAATTTTATGTTTTCGTGTTAATTTATTTTTTTATTTTTTTTTTAAATGTACCTACACTAATCTGACAATTTAGGCAGTCTGACACTACTAATCCCAATATAGAGCCAGTACCGTATTATTACGATAATTAAAATTAAGGTCATTAATTAGTCTTTAAATAATTTAGTAAATTGATTCTTTTCAGTTTTTAAACCAAAGTAGTTAAAATGAAATATTATTGTGTCATTAAGTTAAGTTAAGAATAAATCAGTTTTATTATTATTATCCATTTATCTTACTTTGTTTCAGAAGAAAATATTCCTGCTCGCTACACCATTAGAAGGAAGTCAGTGTTTGCTGAAGCTTACAATCCAGAAGAAGATGATGACGAAGGTTATCAGGTATTTTCTTGTTTTGGGTTTATTTCATGTTAGTTAAAATCTTAATTAGGGAAAATATATATTGAAATAGATATGAGTAATAGTACATCAGTAAAAGTGGTATAATACTACCGGAACTTTCTACAAAAAATGTATCCATAAAATGTAACCAATGAAGTAAATAAAAAATGTAAAATAGCTAACGAAATATAGATGTTAATGATTTGTTAATGATGTTAATTACTTTTTCTCATCACTTCCACAAAAAGTAGATGTTTTGAATTCATATGAAAATTAACACTGTTTTTATTTACTATCTTATAACTGGGAAAATGATAGTGAAAAAATTATTCAACAATATTTTATTTATTTATTTATTTTTTAAATAGAAACACCTCGTTATTTCAGGAGATCCTAATTTTGATCATTTTAAACTGAAGCCTTAATACCTTTAACTTGCTTCCCACGCACTTGTCTGTCCTGGGCTTTTAAAGTCTGTGACATCAAAGGACGTTGTAGTCATCTGTAGCTTTCTTCATATGGTCTGTGCAAAGACAGGCCAGATAATGCACCATGGGATAAAGTGTTCTAATCTTAGAGTATCACTTTTTTATCTTTAATCATATCAATTTTTTTTTAAAGTATTTTTTGTTTAAAATAAATGATAAATAAAATATTTTTCTTCTGGTTAAAAAATATTTATATTAATATTAATACAATAAATATGTATTCTTATGTTTTATTTTATTCCTGTTCAGGTTCCCAAATCTTATGTTTTTTGTTTTCCAGGTAACAAGGTTTTGATAAATAACAACTATAATTACTTTATTCATTTAAGTTTTGTTATTAATAATTTACAATTTAAATTATATTGCTTACCAGTGGCTTTGTGTTTTATGCTAATTCAATACTCCCGATGATCACTTCACTTGATTGCTTCAATTTACTTATTTGCAGTCAGCCCTGATGATGGCCTGAACTTCAGGTCGAAACGTCGGCAAATATCAAAATAAATATTATCATTAACTTTTGCCTTCTTATTTGACTGATCACCCCAACTATTCTTCTCTTCACTTCACTTTTTCTTCTTTCCTCCCTCCTTATGTCTCTCAGAGCAGAGGTGTAGCCATTGGAATCAGCCATCCCGTTCTCTCGCAGATGTTCTTATCTCTCCTATTGACTTGCCTCTTGATCGTCCTAGCCTGGAAATGAGGTCTTCGTAAAACAGTCGAGGTCTACTCTTAGCTCTTTTACCTGTTGTTAGGGCTGCATAGATGCTTCTGGTTGCTTTATATTCTCCCATTCTACAGACACTACAATACCACTTAAGCTGTCTTTTCAAGTATTTGTTCCAGTGGTTCGACATCTAACTCTTGTTTAATTTCATTGTTTCAGCTGTCGTTATTCTATTTTTATGTCTGTCTAGTGTTGCCCAGCTTTCACTACTGTAGAGCAAAGTTGGAAAACCTGTAAAAGGCTTGCTATAATTATTCAAAATTTTATTTGAAAAATTCCAATAACAAATAAAAAGATATTAGATAACTTCTGATCATTTATTATCTAAGATAAAAGAAATTCTTCATTATTTGTTATTCTTAAATTGGAATTATTCGTTATCTATTATCTAAGTTAAATTTGGATAACACTGTTTTCAATGAACCATTATAGAGTTGCCACTGTATGATATTTAAAGGGAGACCTTTTTTACTTTTGTTTACCTATATATAGTTAAGTAAAGTATTGCTATTGTGAAAATTTTTGAATCTCAGTTTTCAGCGGAAATACATGTTTTGAGGTCCCCTGAGCCCAAATAACCAAGTCTCCATGTGTATGTGTATGTGTGTGCCATCAAAATCGGCTTACCAGATGTTGCACTTTATGTAATCAACTTTTACGATTTTCTCGAAAACAGCTCTTAACGATTTTAATATAATTTAGGTTTTATTCTCATAGGTGTTCTTTAACAGGACTTAAATAAATATTTTTCAATGTTGAATTTCTCTAAAGTACCTTTAATTTTTTTTTATTTGAAATAGTTAACCACTTCACGTTGATCTCTAATATTAAAAACAGTTAAATATAAAACATGAAAGGATTTTATAATTAACTAAAGGAGAAATAAGAAATCGTAACAGAGAGTAGTTGTAATGGAGAAACCAAAGGAATACAAGCTCGCCGTAAAGATTAGAACAGGCTTCCATATGTAACAGGAGCTTAATATAACACACCCTCTGACAATATTATGTACATATACATGTGCGGTTTTCATAAATGTTTTTGTTGGTATTATTTAATATTTAATTGTATAGATTAAAGCAATATAAATATTAAAATTTGTGTATATAAGGGTACTTAAACAAATAAAAATACAGGGTGGCGACGACCTGGAAAAGTCAGGGAAAAATTGTTAGTCAGGAAATTTGTTTAATTCGAAAATATTCTTTTTAAATTGGAATTAATACACAGTGGGTTAATATAACGACCTTAAGAGACCTAATAAATTTCATTGTTATAATGTATAATTGTTATAGACGACCGGACCATCTTCATATTTATATCGTATATCTATTTATATAACTTATATCTATCCACTTGTCTCCGTCAATAACGGCCCTGGCCGTTATATTGGAATTAAACAAAGGTACTGAATAAAATGTAAGCAAAATGGAGTTAAAACAGTGCCTTTTAAAAAAGAAAAATATAACAATACTATTTACTATCTGTAAGTATACTCTATTCGTTGGTTAACTAAAGGAGAACGTTGGCAGCTTCACATAATTCATGCTTAGGTTGAGTCGTAATATGCGAATGAACAAAATGTCATTGGATCGCTCGGACTTAAAAACTCATTTTGGTCCTTAATTTTGTGACGATTGTTATGCATATCAACAGAATATATAAAAGCTAGGTAAAATGTTTATACATGCTAGTTCTGTTATAAAATAGTTAAATTAGCCAAAAATAAACCATTGAAAAGATAAAAAGCACTTAGTTTGTGAACGACAGATACTACAAGACTATAAGGGACATACGACATCGATTCTCTGAGCTTTAACAGCCGTTTAATCTTCTTACATATTACCATGTATGTATGAGGTACATACGAAACTTATTGCTCTTTCAAATTGATTATATTGAATTTCTTCAATAGATGCATTGATTATGAGTTTTGGAGGAAAACCGACAAAAATGGATTTTTCTTGTGAAAAATGCAAACAGTCAACATTATCTTACTGCTCACCCCTTAGCCCTACATCAAAAAGCTATGCATAAAATTGATAGTAAATTTTATCTTCTTTAACGTTTATATAATAATAATTTCGATAAAATGCACAGTTTCGGAGTCATGTCCAAAAAACTAAAAAACGTTCGGAAATTTTGATGTTTTTGCGTATATCTCGATACGCAATGGAACATTTCATTCGGGAACGTCAAATTCAGATCAGTATCCCAAAAAAACCGAAGAGAAACCGACTATTTGAATTTTTTTTTCTACCAACTACTATCGGACTGCCCTAATGTAATGACTTTGACGTCGTTGGTCATGGTGTATTCTATTAGGAACATATTCTTTACGTCATATCAAAATTTCAGCTGTCAACTTTTCCGTTAAATGGACCGTCAAATTTCGCCTCGTAAATTTAAATTTTCGTATAAAAAGCAAATTTTTAACTGAATGAACGAAGTTGTGTGTTCAGATGAGGTTTATCTAGAATTTAAAATGGTTATAGCTATAAGTCCTTCCTTTAAATAAAATTGTCAGTAGCTCCTTGTTTAATAGCGGAATATTGAGAAGAAACGATTGTCATGAGTAGATAGATAGTCGTTTTTTGGATATTATTGATTCAGCATGTCCTCGATTAGATTTGTAATTTTTTCAAATTGTAAGATTTATGTTGAATTCTTGAGCCAAGATATTATTAGACTCTTCAGGCTCCAGTCGGCAACATGTATAGAATTTTTCTTATATCTAGAACTTTTTACTCTTTGTTATTCTTATTAAACTACTAAACTATATCATATAAACTATATGAATTTAACACTAACAGTGGGAATGAAATTGGCCCTATAAATGTGATTATTACATAGAGAACGAATGGAATAAAATATTTCCTCGATAAGTGAGATATAAACATGAAGGTTTTTAGAAGTTCAAATGTCACTATATACGATCATTTTTTCTAAAAACTCTAAGAAATCGAGTCATTAAATCCAATCGTAGTATCCATTCAAAATCGCATAATAAAAGCCATCTGAATCATCGAACATGGCGTTTTCGTCGTTAAAGCCGATACATCGTTATAACCGTTTTATACGATATTGTAATTCGAAGAAATTTTAATGTAAGCTGCAGCCTTGATTATTATAAGTCCTTCAATATTGTTATAAACTATGAAAACCACATCACTATTCCAACTTAGTAAAAATCTTATTTTAATGAATAGTTTTTTAAGTTCTCCCATTAATTGATCGAGAAATAAATAAATTGAAACTACAAATCAATATTAATTTCACACATTAATTATTAATACTAAAAATACAATTGAAAAATCATGACCTCGTTCGAGACGGCAAAAGTCTCAGGAAGTGATACATCCAATGTATGGTGCCAATGGGGTTCGTTTATGGGAATTGTTTTTTTTTATATTCAGTTTTTGAACTCTGCAGCAACCAGAAATTTAGTTTAGAGAAATCCAATTGTCGATTAGTAGTATTGTTGAAAACTTCGATTTTACAGATAGTTCAGGAACGTTGCCTTCTGATTTTTAACTGTATGTTTAATATTGACGAACGATTCATACCTTTATATTATTTAAATTATATTTTTACTTAAAGCATGTGACAAGGGTCGTAGCAATTCATTGGCTGGCAAGCACTTGTTCATCCTGGAGAAGATATCAAGCCACTATAATACAAAATGGCGGCCATGTGAGGATAGGAGAGGCCTTACATAGGTTGCACGTGTATATATAGAGCTTATAATATATAAAGCTACCAACACTTTCAATTTATATTATTTACAGTCTTAAGACCTGAAATAAAAGTCAGTTAACCCATATTCGTAGATTTCAAGTCGAAAAATTGAATTTACGATTAAAAAAGTTTAGTTTTATCGGGTTTTCGCTTATATCAGTAAAACTATTATTATGTTATATCTATAATAGTATGATATGTGAAATGAAAGCTGACAAAATTTGCAGTAGAACTGGTTATATTAGTTTATTCGCTATATTCTGTAGTTTCCGTGATATTCTCCCTCGTACTTCACTAATTTCGAAAAAAAAAAAAAAAAAATTTTCATTATTTGACTCGACAATTCTTTATCTTTTCATTTTACGAAAAAGTCATGTGCAAGAAAGTTATTTAATATTAAATTTTCTTTAAGGATATATATTATTTTACAATCTTATCTTCAACCATTTAAAGGCCAGAGCAATTATAATTTAATGATAAAACTTATAAACTTTTTCTCATCAGACCTGTTGATATGATCAATTTATAAGGACAAAGCTTAGTATGAAATATGTTTTACACAGCTTTAGTCCCCTCAGGTCCAGGCAATGAATGCCTGAAAAGGGGGTAATAGAAAGAAGTTGTTGGAGACTCAAATTTATTTTTCTTTAAAATTCGCCATAGTTGAAGATAGATATCTCGCTAACTAAGCGATGTAGCGAAAAAATGTATAGAATCAATCATATTGCAAATTTTATCAGCTTTAATTTTGTATAGGACGTCTTTGTTGATGCTGTGGATAGTTTTCCTGATATAAGTGAAACGCCCAAAAAAGTGACCTTCAAAGGAGGAGTCCTTCCCCCTTCACCACCTGGCCTACCACCAGTAGGGACTTTTAGTATTTTTATTTTTTTATTAGTTAAACAATCTACCAAAGTCAAAAATTGTGTCCCTGCCATTTCCTTCTGTAGTCATTCATTGATTGAACTACTCAGCCATCTCGCCTCACAATTTGTATCGTATGGATAATTATTGTTCTGTTTGTGGCAATAAAAAACTAAATTGGCTTACATTAAAATAAGAGTAGTCCGTAGATCAGTTTATTTCATAATAGATAAAAGCGTCAAGTACCAACTTTTACATCCTCTTACTTTATGAAAATGAAGTGCTTAAAGTATTAGTAAATAGGCAATAAAAGTAAATTATTTAAGGTCAGTTTTCAAAAATAAAAAAATCCTAATCATGTTTACAAAATGTTTCCTCTTGAACATTATATTTGTTTTTTAAAAAACTGAACAGACTTTTTTTTACTCTAATGTTTCAATTTTCAATCATGTATGATAAATTAAATAGTTATAAATTATATATATATATATAGTTATAGTTATAAATTAATTAGTTATAAACTATATATTTTTAACATTTGTGTCCCTTGACATATTGGTCAAGGAAAACTTTCATTAAACAGGGAAAATTCAGGGAATTTTACTCTGACAATTTGGTAGCCACCCTGAAATATAAATAAATATATGAGAAGGAGTTAGTCGGGGGTGCGGTCAAATAAATACTAAATTAAAATATAGTAATTATTTTAATTAAAATACATTTTTGCAATTTTCTGTAAATGGTTACAGAAAACTAATAATGCTGTTCGTAAATTGTAGTTTGTTGGCATAAAATGCGACATGCTCAACACCATTAAAACGATGTTGTTATTTGAAACTTGTATTTTTGTGAGTTGAAAATTTTTGCCAGCTGTCAAAGAAACAAAATGTCACTAATAAGGTAGTTTAACTGTCATTACATCAACAACTAACCATCTATGGATGAACTCTGATTTCCTATTAATAAAAATGGATTTTTCTAGCATTTCACCTTTCAAAGAAATGATATCTGCAATTATAATGAATATTCATTTGAAACAATTTTTAATTAAGTAAACAAATTATATCCATTTAAAAAATTACAAATAAAAATAAAAATTTTCTTATGATTAGGTAATTTTCACCATTAACTTCTAGTTCAGAGAATATAAAGATAATTTATACCTGCTTAAAAATGATACATCATAATTATTATTAATATTCTCTATCATTGTGTATTATCATACACCTTATTTATTTGTTTTAGCCCCAAGTGCATCCTAAAACAGATTTACAACGGAAAAATTTAGCTGAAGCTGTCAAAAATATTCTGCTATTCAGATCTCTTGATTCAGTAAGTATTATCCTAATTAGTACTTTTTCACTTTTGAATTTCAATTAGCATTTATGTTAATTTTTAGTTTTAATTGTTATTGCATTTAGTGGTGCTTTTCTTTAATACCATTAAAATGAGCAACTATGTCATTGAAGCCATTTAGCTCTCCTATCTCTCCTAAGTTTTTATCTCTCCTATATTATCAAATCTATATATCGCTCTACTATATTTGCTTTTCATTTCTTTTTAACCTCCTTTATGATCTTTTTCTTTATTTCATAATATTTTATTAATATTCTGAATTTATCATTTTTCATCAGTGCTGTTGTTATATTTTATACCCATATATATTGTAACTAATTAGGTGTAGGGAGGTGGCAGCCCCATCGCCCGGTCATAGGATCGCAAATAGGTACTGGTCCTCCAGGTTGGGCGAACAGTACACTGACACTCGCACATCTACACTAATTACAACACACTAACCTCACCCCCCATACTATATACTAAGATCACATACATTACACACCCTAGGGTCACCTCCCCTAGGTAGGCTTCCCGGACGGGGGTGCAGGTATACAAGCACCAAGGTGGCAGTCCCACCAGTATACTAGGGAATGGAGGAAGGGTTAGAAACTAAAATCGGATATCGATCGTCACAAACGGAAGCAACCCAGCAATCCCTATAGGACTTTTAATCTCGGATACTGGAACATTCTTTCACTCTATAGGCCCGAAGCACTGCAACTGCTCCTTGATCAAATTGACCATTTCAAACTGGACATAATTGCCATCTAGGAGATCAGATGGATTGGCCAGGATACTCTTGAAAATAGACGACAAACCATATACTATATTTGCAGCGATACCTTCCATTAATAGGGAGTAGGATTTGTTGTTAGAGGGCAATATAGGCAACTGGTCATTGGATTTAAGCCCGTGAACCCGCTATCTGTGTGCTAAGGATACATGGGAAGTTTTATAATTATAGTATTATTAGTGTACATGCTCCGACAGAAACTTCGAGTGAGGAAGGTAAGGATGCCTTTTATGAACAGCTCGAACGAACCCTTGATCAGTGCCCAAGGTATGACATGAAAATAATTGCTGGAGACTGTAATGCGAAAATAGGGAAAGAGGAAGTATACATCCCAACCATAGGCAAACATAGTCTCCATGATCAATCTAATGATAATGGAACTAGGCTTATTAATTTTGCTGCCTTCAGGGACTTGATCATTGGAATTACCCTTTTCGCACACATGGATATTCATAAAGGCACCTGGACAACACCAGATAGGGAACACGTTAATCAAATAGATCATATCCTTGTCAATAAAAGGCACAAGTCCAGCCTCCAAAACGTGAGAACATTTCGAAGCGCCAATGTTGATTCCAACCACTTTTTGTGCATTGCCCACATTACTCCTAGGATCTCCTTCAAAAGATTTGGAGGCCCATCTATAAAACCTAAGCACTATAATCTTGGAAAGCTACGGGAGCCTGATGCCAAACAGCCGTACACTGAGCAATTAGATGAAAACCTCCGTGTTCAGGCTGTAAATACAGTAAATGTAGAATCCCTCTGGTCCAGCTGTGTGACCGCAATGCAGGAAATTGCTAGTAGTGTAGTGAATAAGATAGCAAATATATGTATTTAGAACTATAAATATTAAAGAAAACAAATATTTTTAAATAAAACATATTTATCTATAATTTTATGTGAATGTAAAAAATTATAGGATTAAAGAGCATAACATGAGTAAATAAACATGAAAAAATAAAAATTCCCGGTTTCTTTGAAAAATTCCCGTACATTTCTCAGTTTGAGAAATTCCTGTACAATTCCCGGTTTTTCAGGTTTTCCCGGTCACTGGACACCCTGTCATAGTACTGGGCAGCTTAAGACAGCTCTCAGATGCCTTGGATCACCTTTAAAAACTATTACTGAGCAATTGTTACCAGAGCTTCGTTTTGATAATCTAGTATGCTGACCATCCTGCTGGGATCGATCTCCTCAGCTCCCAGTCCAATAACAATTCTAATGGGCCAAGGAACCTCAGTGGACTTCCTCATGACAAACCCTCAGTCAGTGGAAGGTGCCCAGTCCAGCTGCCAATCTTTGGTGTCCTCATTAATACAAGTAAGCAGGAACCCATCTGGTACCTAGAGTTTCTAAATGCCAGAGGTCTCCTCCTAGATCATGATTTGTTACATCTTAGACCCATTTCGGCGATAAGAAGCCTGCATATGAGTTGCATTTCATCCTGTGAGATATTTCCACCATCCTGGTTCCCCATAATGACTACTTGCAAGACCCTCCCAGCTGCAGCGTCCCTGTAGGATTGGGTATTTCCCTGATCCTCCTGGGTGCCTTGCTGTGAGGAAGGTCCAGCGACAGAGTCGTCGCCCCTTCTAGGCGATTGCCTTGATCTCTTCTTATCTTGCCAGCAAGTGTCCATTAGTGGGGAGTCCCTCTTTCTTTTATTGTATTTAATTGGGGGGTTGGCTCTGGAAAAGAGCGGCTCTACCTTCCTTTTCCATATCGGCTCTAGGATAGTTCTGTCAAGCTCCCCTTGAATCACAGAAGAACGAATCTTGGATACCCCGGTAAGTAACGCTCCCTATGCAAAACCAGATCAGAGATAGACGTGTGATTCCGCTCTCTTGTAACCTCCCATTCTGCTTGCCTTTTCTTTTACCATAGAGTTTTTTCTTTAATTTGCCCCTTTTAATTTATTTAGCCTCTTCTTTTGAGATGCTGCTTCCTGAGTAAGATTGGCTTTGTAGCTCCCTTGTGCTGTCTTGGTCAAGGAAATCGACCTGAGCAGGGTGGATTCTCTATTAGAGCCCACTCTTTGGCTTGGAGGGCTGGAAGGGAGTTAGTGTGGTCGTACCACCCTGTCTTGTCTGGGTTTGACAATTTGCCAGCTCCCTTCCTCTGTGGCTTGAAAAATATTTTGTTGTGCAGTGTGGTAGGACTGCCCCACCTCTACTTCCATCACAGCTGGCACATTAGGCTGCTCATCTGCTTTATTTTCCATTGGTAATAATAATGTGAGTGTTTATAGTATTAATTGTATGGTGTTAGTGTAAGTATTTTGCTATGCCAGCTCCAACTCTCTCTCCCAGGGAGAAGAGCTTTTCGCCCAAGAGTGAAGTCCAGTGGCCTTATTTGAACTTTGAACTTTAAACTGGACTGATAGAGCAGCCACCCCTTCATGGTTGGGAGGTGTGGGCTCCTATACTATCACAGCGGTCAAGATATGCCATCCTTCATTTTCCTCTGTACACTCTAAAACCCACTCCCCCGGGCAGACTTAACCATAAAGCGAGATGACGAACATGGGATGACAGGACTGACCTATGTGAGTTGTGTTCTGTGGTTGGGTGTGATAGTGAGCTGTACACCTCCATTTGCTGACCTGGACATTGAGCCAGACTGTTCCCTCGCACACAGTTATACGAGCCTTGGTTATTTGGACTCAGGGGACCTCAAAACATTTATTTCAGTTGAAAATTTTTACGATCGTAATACTTTCTCTTACTATACATTTCTTACATAGGTAAGTGAAAGTAAAAGTAACATATTTTTTTTGTTGAAAAATATATCAACTAATTTCATTCTTAGCTCTTAAATAAGCCTTTTAATAAAATGCCATAACCCTTGTCTAATATTTTCTGATATAAAATAAGAAATAAAAATTGATTGAAATAAATGACCTACTGACTGTAACCTCCCCTTGTTGTCCCTATTTATTTCTGCTTAGTCCTCTTCCATTGGGTTATTTAAAAATATTTTAGTTCAGTCAACTATAATAAAAAATTAATGACCTACTGACTGTAACCTCCGCTTGTGAGTGAGAATAGTTATTTCTGCTTAGTCCTCTTCCATTGAGTTATTTAAAAATATTTCAGTTCAGTCAACTATAATAAAAAATAGGTTTCCTCAGGGAAAACTGATCTAGAAAAATCTAGTCTACTCGTTACTCCCTTTGATAAGTAACTTGACTGATATTTAGCCCATGTGCTGGGAAAATGCCCCAACAACTCCCTCCTCATAACACGCCGGTAACATAGGGTCAAATTCGAGTTAATGAGGCTCCTTAGGGTAAGGGAATTTACATGCTTCGACGAGGTGTATTGTATCGATAGTGATGGATCAACGAGATATAGTTGCATTCTGCAGGACCAGAAAGGCAGCACTGGTCTTGGATCCAACTCTTTGCTATGAGAGCAATGACCTCGATCAGGCCAGTGAAGTAGAAAAAGAAAAGAAGAAAATCTACAATAATATGCATCCTTTTCCTAAAAGAGAAATTCCGCGAGACCTTCGGAAAGAAAGAGTTCTCCGTGAGGGGCCTCTGGTTTGGGTCGGAATGATTGTTAAAAGAACAAGGATCTTCTTCGAGGAACTAGTTGTTGATGTCGGGGAGCTTGCGTTGGCCGAGAGTATTATTCTGGACTCCCTTGGGATCATTCATCATCACATATATGGTAATTAGGGGTTGATTATGGATATTTATTTATTCAATTTTTAAAAAATTAACTAACCATATCTTTTTGTCTATGCTCATAGGATTAAGTTACTTGCTATGTGTGCGTTCTAATTGTCAATTTTTGGAATTTTGGCTTTCGAATATTTTTTTTTTTTCTTTTATAAAATTCAGAAATTGTTTTGTATTGTTATACCGAAATATATATATATATTGTATAATTGTAATTGTGTGTATTGGTATATATATATATATATATATATATATATATATATATATATATATATATATATATATATATATATATATGTGATTAAGTATAATTAAGTGCTATGTCCAAAAAAAAAGGATTGATGAGTATGCTGTGTATCAAGCAACCCTATATAGTAGGGCAGGCAGCATTGCTTTAAATAAAGTATTTTTCTCTAGTATTACATATTCCTAATTTTCAGGTTCAGACTCGCCAGGTGCTTGATGCAATGTTTAAAAAACAAGTTCAGAAAGGTGAAGGGATTATTAAACAAGGAGATGATGGTGACAATTTCTATGTCATTGAAAGGTAAATCTAGGTCATTTATTTTTAAGAATAATTTATTTTAAGCTATTCATGCAATTAATATGAATTTTGTTTGATTAAAATTAACATTTTTTCCATCCCCCTCTCCCTTTGATAGTGAAAAAAAAAAATCACAGGCAAGTTCTACTTTAAAAATTACTTGTACATGGATTGAGTGTGAATCACTATAGCATACATGTATCTTAGGCTAGGTAATTTAGCCTTGGACATTATTCTAATGCTTTATTCAATATATAATTTATTAAATTTTTTTTTATTATTTCCAACTCCTAAATAATAATTTTAAGTTTAACTCTGCATTATAGTGATTTATACTTAACGAATTTTCACCTTAAGTAGATAGCACACTGGTTAAACTTATTTATGGTTGAGTGTACCCATTCTTTTTAATCTTATGCGGGATGTGGGATAGCGGATAGCTATGTCATTAAGGTATTACCGTGCTGTTATACCCCTGGTCCCGGATTTAAGTCCGCCTATAGTAGATAATTATTTACTCTGATACATCAACTATATAGATTGACTCTAGGATCGGAACACCTTCCTGGGAAAAATCCGGCATTTATAATGTGGGTACACTTGACTTAATAACTTATTTAGGGAGAAAACCTGGTGGATTACTGTATCTCAGTCAAATCACCTCCTTGCTTTTAACTGTTTACCAAGAAACAGACTAAGGCATTCCATTTTTTTTATTCTTCGAGATAGTTGTTATTTGTATTATTTTTTTAAATTGTCCATGGAACCAAAATTATTGGTTTTGCTGATGTTGAAAGTATTTTTACCTGAATTAGTAGTATACAAATAATGGGTATAACAGACTTGTCAACATACTGATATAAATCGTTTTAGATTTTTATTAAGTCCTCATTCTTCCATGACTGGTTCAGCTTTTGATTGACAAAAAAAGTTTCATTTTTATTTTTTTATTTAAAGAGGTTAAGTGTTGAATATTTATATTTGATAGCCCTAGGATTTACTTTTTGCTCTTGCTTGGCATAAGAAATAAGAACATAGTTTAAAACAAAGGGGTAAAGAACTTGATCAGCTATATTCATAAATCTTATTTATTCACATATACAAATGTCTACAAAGTTAAATAGGAAATATCTGGGTTGCGACTATTAAATCTCTTCTGCCAAGATTTACCAGGTCCACCTGTGAAAGAAGTTTTTTATCTCTCTTCTTTCACTGTGAGGAGTTTTAAGACTTGCAAAATGATTTCCCATTCAATATTGGAGTGCTTTTTAGAAATACCATTGACCTTGTTCAAAGAGCTATGTTTGATGCGTTTAATAACTTATTACATTTTTTTTTTGTGTGTGTAGATCTTATATTTTGATTATTTAGCTTTATAAGCATTTTTTTCTACATAATATTCTTACTTTTTTTTCCATTTTTGGCTGTTGTTGTTTCACCATTCTAAATTAATCTTTCAAATAAAAATCTGTAGTCTGTTTTTTTTTCTTTGGAAGTAGGCTAGTTTTAAAATCTTTTTAAAATAAAAGAGACAAAAATAAATAAATAAAACGGTTACAACTTATGAAATAGAACTATAAACTAATTTTGGGCCAGCCGAAATCAGGATATTCTAACTAGAAACTAGGGCTAGGAGGTCTGCCAAAAATTGATTAGTGGCTGTACAGATTTCTTCGCCAGTTTTAAATAATAAAAGACAAAAATTCTTGGACTTTTTTATGTTCTAAACAGTGCTATAATTTAATTTCTCAAAAAGTAAATTAAATGAAATATAATTTTATTCTGGGACTGAATTCTCATTAGAATAATAGTAGAGTTCAAAAAATATGTACATTAGTCTGGCATATAGATATCATACAAAAAAGTACTAAGGAAAATGTATATATACTAAAGAAAATACTAAGGAAAATATTAAATATCCTCAAAAAATACTAAGGAGAAACGCAAATATATACAAGAAATACTGAGAAAAAATGAAAGTGAATAAATAAAAATAAAAGGCTCCTGTCAATTAACTGCTGTTTACCAACATAATTATATAATCCAGAAATTTTGCAGAGGTTTGAATTTGTAGTAGGTGGTGGAATAGGAGTTGTTTGAAGGAGTTTATGGACGTGGTTTGATGTATGGAGATGGGTAAGGAGTTCCTGAAGGAGGTAGCACGGATGACAAAGAATTTACAAAAGGAAGTGGTTTTATGAGAGGGAATATATAAATCTATAGGTTGAGAGAGTGTAAAGTAAGGAGTTTTTAGATGTAGGGAGGGTTTTTGGTTCTGAGGACTTGAAAAAGGAAAACACCAAGAAAGAATTGCCGTCGGGAAGTAGGATAAAGCCACTTCAATTAGGTGTACCTACAGGAAACATGAAAACACTTTGGAATCCCAAAGATGAATCTTAAGAAGCAATTCATAAGTTTCTTCAGTCTCGCCTTCAGTCCTGTGGACAACCCTCCATACACCAAGCAACCGTAGTCAAAGTGGGGGAAAACAAGGGATGTTATAAGAAGCTGTCTGATTTTTTTTGGAATGGAATTACGGGACCGAAGGAGTTATTTAAGGATAGTTATGGATTTACGGGTAATTTAGGAAATATGGTTGTTCCAAGAGAGGTTCTGATCAAAGATCACTCCGAGATTTTGACTGTCGGATAGAAATAGATGGAAAGTTTATTGAGGTAAAGTAAAGAAGAGAAAGGAAGGGAACTAATGAGATGCTTGGAACCAATGGGGATTGCCTTAGTTTTGTTTGCTTCAGTTTCAGTTTATTTTTTTTCCACCCACTTATGGATGTAGTCAATATCCTCTTGTAGTTTTCGGGTAGCCTTGGACATCTCAGATGGTTGGAACGATAAGTAAATTTGTAGATCGTCTGCATATAAGTAATAGTGGGAGTGACGAATGGAGTCAGGAAGGTCGCTAATATAAATGGAGAACAGAGTTGGAGAGAGTGAGGAGCCCTGAGGAACACCTCGTGATAATTGAAAGGACGAGGAAGGAGATTTGTCAGGAATAACAACTGTCTGGGAGTGGTGGGATATAAAAAGGAGAGGAATCATTTCAGAACGCTAATCAATATGGGCAGGCTTTAGTGTTTGGAAATAAGGATATGATTGACAAAAGTCGAAGGCTTTTGAGAAGTCGAAAAAGACTAGGATGCAGATTTTCTGTTTGTCTATGGATGATTGGTCTTGGGTAATCTTTAAAAAGGCAGATTTGGTGGAATATTTGGGAATGAAAACCAGATTATTGAGGATTGAGGAGACTCTTACGCTCAAGAAAGTTGTACAACTGAGAGTGAACTAATGTTTCTAGAGGCTTGGATAAAATGGAAATTGATCTGAAGTCGGAAGCTAGTGAAGGAGCAGGAACTTAGTTCAACAGCTGGACAGTGACTTTTTTTCCAGGCTTTAGGAAAAATGGAATTTTGGAGGGAAAAATTATAGATATGTAGGAGTGTAGGAAGTAAGGTTGGAAGGCAAAGTTTAAGGATTTTCATAGGAATTTGGTCAGGACCATATTCGTTGGTTTTGGATTTAAGGATAGTAGAGAGTAGGTCAGTTGGAGAGATATCAAGAAAAAAAAACTTATTTTGGGTCAAAGGAGGTTTCAGTGATGAAAAAAGGTAAGAGGTCAGATGTGAATACAGAAGGAGGATGGTTTGTAAAAAAGGAATTTAGTTCGTTCGGATCTACTGGATAATGTGTGCAGGTTTTGGAGTTTATGACAGAGAGTTTCCTGAGGATTGTCCATCTAGACTTTGGATTAGGTGTTTAGGATAGTACATTGTTAAAGTATTGCACCTTGGCCTGGTGTAAGGTTATTTGTGTGCTGTTTCATAGGGATTTGAATATAGTGTAACATTTCTTATATTTTAAACTAGTAATATGACCTTTTGGAAGTTCACTTTATACTGTTGGAATACATTGTATGAGATTTCGATAAGATCATTGGATGAGAGAAAAGAAATAGGGTTTTGTGAGGAGGATAATAGGTTTTGAGAGGTATCAATGATAAATAAGTGTAGCGAGGTATCAGTGGACTGGGTATGATGGGTGGGTTAAAAAAATACAATGAATTGGTTGGTCTAGGGAAAAAAACTGGTCAATAAGGTATGTTCTGTCCGGAGAGGCTGAAAGGAGGTTGTTGTTGAGATCGCCTGCAATAATGACATTTTTAAACAGAGGTATATATGTAAGGAGGGAGGATTCAAATGTGGGATCAAATCGGACACGAGGAGGGTGTTAAATAACGATGTAGAGTAGGGAGGAGATTCTAGAGGAAACTTGGACAAATAGATATTCAATGTGTGGGATGTTGGAAGAAGGAGAATTTAAAATATATTTTAGCCCTCAAACTATCATGAACGAACAGACCAAAACCTCCTCTGGATCGATCTGCTCGATCATGACGAAAGAGGGTATAGTCGGATAAGGAAACAAATGGTGAGGGGATATCAGGTTTGAGCCAAGTTTTGGATACGGCAATAATATGGTAGAAATTGTGGTGAAAATAATCTAGGAATTTGTCATAATGTGCTGGAAGGGATTAGGAGTTAACATGTTCAGAGATTAACATATTAGTCATTAAGGAATTTAATAAAGGACAAACAGTAGGATGGGACAGAACGAAGTTAAGATTAGAGGAGAGAGTACATTTGTGACAGTATATTGTACAATAAAGAAAATAATAGAATAGGAAGATAAAAGTAAATTTTAATTAACAAACGTTCGCAGGAATGACCATAGAAAAAAATAATATTTAATTTAAAATAAGATAAAAATCTACATTTCAAAATAATAGTAAAAAAGTGAAATGAAAAACTGCATGAGTAAAAAAATTTAAAAAATAAAAGATTCTCAAAAGATAAGGGTTGGGGGAACGCTGACACATATTTCATTCTATGGCTTCAATATCTTTTTTTTTTTATAAATGATATTGACAGGGGAGTCATCCTCTCTTCTATATTTAATTTTTCCTCCAGCAAACCAGAGGTACTTCAGCTT